TCAATAAATTCCTTTTTAATGTCGACGATGTATTTCGCAGAACAATAATGCAACGAAGAAGCAAGAAGATAGTTCAAAGCAAATTAACTAACTTTTTTTAGTATTGTAGAGAAATAAATAAAAAATAGCTTTTATATTTCTAACTTTAACAAGAACATTTGAAATTACATAATTTTTTTCATGTACCCGTTTTATACGAGCACTCTGTAACGAGAAAATATTACGATCTCTTCGTGTTCGTTATGGATGTTTCGATTGTAGTTATATTAATTCTGATTACGGTTGAGTCGAAGAAGACTCTTCGGCCGAGTGATATCACCCGCTAAACGCTGTGCAATGCATGGGGGAAGTAGGTTCGATTGCCGCTGTTACCCTTAATGTATCTTCGCGCTGTCTTTGTCGGCATCTTACTATCTGTTCTATTTGACAAAGGTTTATAAACCTAAATTGAGCATTCAAGCCCGCAAATGTAATTCCAATAATAATTAAGTCTAACATGAATTAGTTGTTAATGCTGTAGTTCATTTACGTCGCACTAGAGCTGCACAATGGGCTATTGGCGACTGTCTCGAAAGCATCCCTGAGGATGATCCGAAGACATGCCATCACAATTTTGATCCTCTGCTGAGGGGATGGCACCCCCGCTTCGGTAGCCCGACGACCTGCCCGTGAAGTCGAGCACTTTACGATAGAACAGTTTAACGAAGACCAATACCGCACACCCTCGGTCCCTAATCCAAGTGATCACCCACCCGCACCCTGACCGCAGCCAGCTTGCTTGACTTCGGTGATCTGCTGGGAACAGTGTCCTAACGATCAGTCCACTGCCGGACAACATGAATTAGTGCTACCCGGTACTGGGTACCCGGTAAACTAATTCACAATCCAGCGGCCTTTGACGACTCTCGTTTTTGGAGATTTTCCTCTTGGCTGTAATCGGTTCCATTTATAATTCAATGCTTTTATTTCTTTTAAAATTTGTTACCTAAACTAAAAGGGGAAAAAATAAAAAAACAATTTATTTATTTACTTATTATTTTTAAAGAAAATTCTGAATAGAAAAGCCCGTTAAAATCTGTTGTTATGAAAAATCACACCCCATACCACCAGGTAATGAATTTCTTTTACCGTGTCCGTCAAGAAATCTGGTCAAATACCGGCTCCTGTGATTATTTCAACTCATAACTCTCCGTCCCGTGTCAAGTCTTGCCAAGTATGTGTATCAAATATTTCGTTTTTGCTTGATTAAACTTGAAAGTGTTTCTACTTTATTTATCTACTCTTATGCTTCCTAAAATCAGTTGAACAGATTTTAAGTCTTTTAACCCCACACTCCACCCGTGAGCTTTTCAATTTTCAGATTGTAATCTCCACCCGTGAGTATTTCAAATCATTGTAAATTCTGTTGTCACCAGTGATTATTTTTAATTACATAAAACTCTTTCATCCCCGTGGTCATTTTAAGTCATTACTGACTTGGTCGTGACATGCAATCCTATCAAGCCATTTCAGAATGTTTGAATGNATATTCTTCTTTATAAAGGGTGTCCTAAAATTAACGCCAGATTGGAATTTGCAGCCATTTTTGCAGTAAAATTGTTGGCAACCCTGAAAAAAGAACAATTTGACTGCTGAGAGTTTAAGGTTAGCAAAAATGGCCTCCGCGGCTTTGATGTTACACACTCACTCTTTTGTTATGATATGTTGTCATGAGAACAATATTTCAAAATAATGAAAGTCGCGGCTGCCAAACTTACATCATTTTTGAAATATTGTTCAAAAATGAAAACAAGTTGCTGTATCGCATGAAGCTCCATTTTTACTAACCCTAAACTCTCAGCAGTCAAATTGTTCTTTTTTCAGGGTTTCCAATAATTTACTGCAAAAATGGCGGCAAATTCAAATCTTGCGTTAATTTTGAGACATTTTTTAAAACTTTTGCCAAAACTAAAGGATAAAGTATACTTATTAGAAATGGCAAAATAACATTTAAGATTGAAAACAAAATTTGTCAAAATGAATAATGAGAGAGAAAGGTGTCTCTAGAGGTTCGATAGGTGTTTCTAAGAAAAAATCGCTTTTCAATCGGCAATTAAATAGGTTTTGGAGGGTTTTAGTCCCGCTTTCCACAACAATGATTTGTCAGTTATCGACAACAGTGTTTTTTTTTCATTAATTAAACACTAGTTTGCCATCCTAACTCCGTGTTAAATTTTGATTTCATTTTTAGCAAGTATTCTAAAAATGTATATTAAGACTGGTCATTACGGAATTTCCTGTGCACTAATATGTCGCAAAAAATAAATTTAAAAATGGACAAACATTTTAAGAATCGAAAATTACTTAAAAAATAATTATAATTTTGAAATAATTGTTATTGTGGTGAATTTTTTTTCTCTTTCTAAAGATTATTAAAATTACGTAATAAATCATAGTTATTGCATATTTTTCTGAATTCTATCGAATGAGGAACTTTCTCAAACATTAAAAAAGTATATCACAAACGCTTTTCGCTAAAAGAACTATAGTTTTCCTTCAAAAATTTCGCTATTTTTCATTTTTTTATGGTCAAGACTTGTGTACCTGTACTCCTCTTAGTGCACTATTAACTTTCACAAGAAAAAGTTTCAAAAACCTAACGCACTATACAGTGTGTCTATATTTCGTAGAATAATCATTGCTTAATCCAGAGAATAACTCTGAGTTGGTCGCAAATTGAACGGGAAAAGGAATGATTTGAATTAATCCAAAAAAGAAAAGAAAAAAACAGACAATGAATCTGGGAAACAGTAAATTTCAGAAAAATCTCAAACTTAAATAGTGAATTAATTCGGAATTTCTCAAATTTTGAGGATTAGAAAAAAAGTAAGTAAACGGGGAAAAAAAATTCTGAATGTATTTGAAAGAAATACGCAAATCATGAAAGTCTTAGTAGAAAGTGAAAGGGAAAATCTAATTTCGATAAACAGTCTTCAGTTATAGATTTTTTCGGGAAAGATCAAATAATATTTTAGTAGGCTATATTATACTTTTCACTAATATTGATTTATTAATATTTAACAAATGACATTTTTATTTTAGGATACTAACACAGACAGTTTTAATTGTAATTGCTTATTGACCACAAAACTCGAGTTCATTTAATCAAAACGTTATACTATGCATTAAAAACCATTCAAAAGTAAAATTTAGGATTGGTTATTGCACTCCCCTTTTAATCGAATGCATAGATTTGTCTGGAGTCGATGGTATTCCTTTAAGCGGGGTTGACTGTACTCTGAAAATACATCCATAATTTCAAGTACACTTTAAAGTTGTACGGTATTCCACACTGTAGAAAATGGTAATCTGAAAAAAAAGAGCATCGAAAAAAACACCAAACCCACTCCTCATATAATTTCTCTAGAAATAAAGCACAGAAAAGAATCCCCCCCTCCCCAAAAAAAAAAATCTTGCGATAAAAGAAAGCGCCATAATTTTTTTTTCACTTTAACAGTTTTATGAATTAGCGTCCAATTTTATTTCTGCCATTTAGTGAATTAAGCCTGAAAGAATTAATTATCTATTTTAACGAGATTAAATTTTTTTTAACAAAAAAAAAAACTGAAGTACGAGGACTAATTTAAAATTCATGAAAGGAACTTACTCATTTCATAGTATTTAACAAAATTTTTAGGTCTCTTAAGAATTCTTTCTGAATTCCAAGATTAGAGTGGTGATAATGCTTAATCAACAGGTGATTTTTTTTTAATTTATTAAAATGAAATATTTCCTAATTTTTGTCATTATTTTTAACTTATCACAAAATTAACTTGCTGAAAAACTATCATTAATTGATACATTATATATAATACTATCAAGTATACTAAATAATTGTATAATGCACAATTAAGAAAAATCAGAATATGAATTAACATTTTATTTCTGTAAGTTTTAAAAAGTATCTATTTACATAAGTGTGGGCATTTTTTTAAAATGATACTTACACAATCAATACTTAGTAGGATAACTCTTATTTTTTAAGACAGCTTCACAGCGTCTTTTCATCGAGTGAACGAGTGTTTGGAGTTCATCTTTCGTAATCACATGGTGCCAAGAATCAATCACAGCTTCAATAAAATGTCTTTTATTGGATGGGCGTTTTTTTCGTACAAGAATTTTCAAACGTCGCCACAAATTTTCAATTGGATTGAGATCAGGGCTGTTTCCTGGCCATGGTAATATATCTATGCCTTTATTTTGAAACCATGCTTTGCATGCTTTTGCTGTGTGGAAAAAGCTGAATTCAGCTGAAAAATAAATGGTGCGTTGTTGGGGAAGAGATCCCTGATGGAAGGTATCAATTTTGGTTTCAGGACAGTTTCCGCATCCGGCTTTCACCGACCACAGTGCTGACGTGAAATATACTTAGTGGTAGGCGGATCATGGGATAGAGTCCTCTTACCGTCAGGCTAACTGTGGGAGGTTCTCGTAGAGTTGAACATTAGTAGTTTTAAACCCAAAAATTGGGTCGGCTGTTCAACGACGGTTATAAATAAGATAAAATATTACGTTGAATTTAAATAATAGTAAAAAAAACTAACTATTTAATTGGTGCAGAGCAGCATAAATTGCCCCTTTTATTCTCTTGACAATATATAATCAGCAACAACCATCTAAACTTCAAACTTAAACTTAATTAACTTCACGTTAATTAACATTCTAACTTATAAGGAGAAACTTTACGCAAATTTAATACGCCATTTTGCTTATAAATGATCAGTTGGTGCTGACATCATAGGTCACCTGTGTTGGTATCCGCGATGTTCCAACTCTTGAAGTACAAGTACCCAATTAAGTATAGGTAAAAATTATGCTAATAGTCCAGTATTAACGGTCTACAATAACACACTGAAATATTTTATCGATTGTTCGGATAAATTGGAGTGAGCAACACTGATGTGGAGAATGATAAATTGACGTTGATTCATATGTATGGCCTAGACATGTGACCAGCAGTCTTTTGGCCTGTTTACACGATTCAAGTTTTACGTTCAAGAAGCGTTCAAGATTGATTGATATTGATGGAAATCTGTTTTCATCGATGTTGTACCGTGTAAACGATTCGTTCAAGATCTTGGATCCACTTCTTGAATGTAGTAGCGCATGTTCTACAAGACATTCAATTTTTTCTTCTCCCAGCCAATCATCTTTTAGAATTTTGTGATGTCATAGGAAAACGTCATGAATAGCGGGAGGTATTTGATTTTTACGCATTCGCCGTTTTTTTTACTTTCTACGGGTCCTGTTCAATCGTTTTAAAAAATTTTCATCTGGTGTGTGCTTTTTCGTAAGTATTTATTTGTATTTTAAATTCATATTTCCTCCCTTAATTCTTACTTTTTTAATAAAAATGCCATTATTTGTACCTAGATATTTATAGAATGGAGTGGACTCAGGATCAAGTTTTTAAATTAATAGAAGAATACCGGGAAAGACCCCAATTATGGAATAGCAAATTCCCGGAGTATTCTGATAAAAATCTGCGCCAAAGGCATCTAGAAGAGTTGTCTTTCCTATTCGAAACTGATATAGAGACCATAAGAAATAAAATTTATGGGTTGAGAACTCAGTATCTTAGTGAACAGAAAAAGGTGTTAGATTCTCTAACAAGTGGAAGTGGTAATAAGTTGAATACTTTAATAATAAGAACTTATAATTTTTGCATAAATTTTTAATTCCGTGGCCTTCTTTTCTTTTAGTCTCTTATACATTTCTATATTTTTTTTCTAAAACCTCCATAAAAAGAATTTAAGTATAAAATATCCATAGTAAAATAAAGAATTGAAAAGTTCATAAATATTGACTGAGATTAAATCTGTCAGAATATTACTGAAAAAATTCATATATAATTAAAATTAGGGAATGTATTAGTATAGTAAGGGATGATAGAAAATCTATTTCGAGTTTCGGTATATGCGTGTATCTCTACCATTTGATGCCCTGGTCAGTAAGAAAACAATTAATATGAGCTTCTATATTTATTAATAAACTTAACAATGAAACAAATAATAATTAGACTGAAACAAAACAAAAATATATAAGAAATAGGAGCTTTCAAGAAATGCTCCTTCAGGCATGAGTGCATCGAGAACAACTGACAAAAAAAAATAATTTGATTGGCGACGAATTGACGCCGCCAAAAAGAATTAATTCGTAACAAGGGATGTATGATTCATTTTATTGATGATGTCAATATCTGTAAATCTAGATTCTTTCAAGGGAGAAGAGTGGGACAAAGTCCCCCTCAACTTTTGAGAGAGAAATTATCCCTTTTTTGGTATCTTAAAGAAATTTGCAGAGTTAGTGCTACTCTATAAAACCTATATCATATGAAGATTGTTTATTATTGTCACTTTTTGTTTAAAAATACTTCATTTTAAATCTTAAGTACACTTTTATTATAATTTCAATAACTCAATGAAATTAAGTAATTTCGAAAAATGGTTTTGGTATTATGGTATATATTTATAGGTCAAGTTAACCTAGGTTCTACAAGTTTTATTTAAAATGAAATAAGTGACACAGACAACAATTATGCATACACTACTTAAGCAATGCACAGATTTAAATTTANGCACTGATGTGGAGTATGATAAATTGACGTTGATTCATATGTACGGCCTAGGCATGTGAGCAGCAGTCTTAGCAATAAAATGGTCTCGCACAAAAAATAACAAAAATAACATAAATATTTCCTTACAAATTACTCTCTTAAACTTAAATATTAGTTTAAAAAAAACTCTTTATTTAATTGGTACGCAATAGCATAAATTTCCACCTTTATTAACTTGACAATCAGCAATTAACATCTAAACTTCCATATTCTAAAATCGCCATTTTGAACTGATTGATCGACGTTTAAACTTTCAGGCGGATCTTAAGTTTTGATGAAGTGAAATTAACTATTATTCAACTTAGAATCACGATGAAGGTACTTAAGTGGATTAGGAAGGCTGTGTAAGTGTTATTTTTAATATAATCCAATATATTTTAACTTCATATAGTTCGGAGATGAAAATATTCTTCGATTACAATTTGTTTGTTTTTATATTTAAATATTTTGTATTAGATTGCAGTATTCTATTTTTTAATCCTAAAACATTTCTGCTGTATTTTGTTTGCAAAATATTGTATTGATTCTGTACTACTGAAGATATAGTTTTGCATTACATAATGTAATTTTGTGTCTCAATTTCAATAAAAAAAAGGATGAAATTTCTTCTCTTGTTCCTAGCGTAAGACATCTAAATTCATTTTTTTTAAATGAATCATATTTGATGTTATTATTTATGAAAAGTTAGCCTTAACGCTGAATAAATAACATCTGTTTTGTTAAAAGCAAAATATTACTTCACAAATTGAAACAAACACTAATAGAGACGATTTTACATTTAAACGGTATTCTAAATGAACACTTAACAAATTTTTATTTTTTAAATTTTAATTTACAATTTTTTTTCTTAATTATGAAAGAACTGCGTTCTCTTTATTCAATGCTGTTCAATGTTAAAAGATTTTTGTACAGCTAAATTTAAGAATTTAATAAATGCTCACCCCATTTCTGATAATGATTTGTACGTTTATTTTTAATAATACGTTTATTATTATGCTGCAAAGTTAAATGGAAAATTTCTAAAAAAAGAAACTTTATTTTGAAATACTTTTATTTTATTTGAAATCGAAAAGAAAAAATTTAAAAACGTGATGCAAATAAATTGCCAATAATATAATAAAATCTTAAGTTATGTTACAGAAAATAACAAGCATAAAATTCTTCTTTCTTTCATATTTACTAAACTATTACCTAAATTTAAAGTTGCTTTATCAAGGGAGAAGTAAAAAAAAATCGCTTGATTATTATAGGCAACTGTTATGTGTAATTATGATATTAGATAATGCTGGTAAAGTCGTATGAGGTAATGGTAATAGGTACCTAATATACTAATATGAGTACTGGGGTAACAGAATTGTTTTTTCAGAACGGAATAGTACCTATACGAACATATTAGTTAATACATAACAAACCAAATTAAATGAATTCAAACTTATACTTCATTGCGTAATTGCGTAAAATTTTATTTGCGTTCTCAGTCATTTAACAAATGTTACAAACCACTAGAATTGTAAAAGTATTCGCTCTTGAACGCTTAGCGACCACTATTCTTATAAGTATGTGGCTTCGCTTAGAAAGTATTATCTAAGGTCGTAGTTGCTAATGTCCTGTCTGACTAAAATTTTCAATCGAAATTTGCCCTTTCAGAAAGGGTAAAAACAAAACAAAAAATGCTTCATTTCAAACTAAATGTTTGATGCATATTCTAATAAATAAAAAAAAATACTAACAGGACCTATATAAGGTACTTATTTTAGTAAAATAGGGATAGATTACCATCATATCATTAGTTTCTGAAGTCGATAATTATTTGTTGACTTCGTTATGTGTCCTTTGGATTATCGCCAAAGTTGTCGCAATGAAGTAAATAAAATATACTTCTGTCTAAAATAGATTCATAAGTTTTAATGTTCATTAGTTTTTTGGCTTGATCTTTAACTTTGCTGCCTTAAATGTGCTCATTTTTTCTTGAAAAAATATACATTATTATTATTATTTAAAAATTCTTGCGTTCTTTCGAAAAATATTTCCATCACTATACTGTAGATTTTTGACAACAGCAACACTTCACTGAAACTAATTTAAGCATTCAGAAGTGGCAATGTTTTTGAACTAATTTCTGGGGTCAGTGCAATACCGATAGAGTTATTCAACCGATCAGCACTCTGCAGCGTCAGTTTTAGGGATAGGTTTTAGGTGCACAATTAGGTTAACATTTGACAGTAGTGTGTTTCTCTTACTATTATTTTGTACTGTCATCGGAGTCATTATTTAAAGAAAAAGTGTATTTGAAATTTTGTTTTTTTGACTGAAAAATCAGCAAAAGTATGTACCAAATGCTGTAAAAGTACCAAATGCTTCAACAAGTTTTTAAGGATGATGGCACAACCGCACACAAGTTTTCGAATGTTTTGGGAAATACATAAACAAATAATAAATTTAAGTTTAGTAAAAGGTGGAGACGACAAAAAAAATTATATTTCAACCAATTTGAAGAGCGATATGTCGTTGCATTAAAATAATTTCATGCTACTTAACATTCTAACTTATGTGGATAAACTTAGCTCAACTTTAACACGCCATTTTGTTTATAAGCGATCAGCAGGAGCTGATGTCATGGGTGGCATGTGTAGGTATCCGTAATCTTCTTATTCATGAAGTGCAATTACCCAATTAAGAGGATTAAGGATTTTATTTCTTATCCTTTGTGTTAGTTTTAAGCAGATATGAATTAAACTGGTATTTTTTAAACTGTTCCAGGCGTTTTTTTTTTTTTTTTTGCTTTCTATGAAAAAAGGTATGAGAAAGTTTATAAAATTGAGTGTACCATGATTTTTTTTTCCTCTGCAATGCTGCAGACATTATCCTAACGCCATGCCAATGCATAATGTATAATATGCATTGTAATAGTTAAATTACTTATTTAGTTCAGCCATTGCCGTTCAAAGATCAAATATACAATGAGACTCTTAAAAAGTTTTCTATTCGCGATCGCAACGAACTATAGGGGGCGTTGTTGTATGAGACTAATACCTTCGATTTCTATATGAATAGTCATTCAGTTACTGTCACGAGGTGTTATAATTTAATTGTTTTTTGTGCTGGCTCAAATTCCGGTGGCAACGTTGTTCACGATGCCATGGTTACGAGCGATTCTGTAACTAGAGAGAGTAGTTGAAAAAATAATAAACAAAGTTCTTTTTATAAAGANAAATTGCTTTAAAACATTTTTCCAAATGCCAAAAATAATTTTTTTTGTTAAATACTACTTACAAATTTGTATAATAGTTTAGTAAAAATTAACTAATTATTTAATCGGTGCACAACAGCATAAAATTCTACCTACATGACTAATTAATCAGTAACGAACTTCTCAACTCTTACGTTCTAAAATCGCCATTTT